TACCTTACCCAAATGATCATCCTTCATTTGCGAGCCTGCACAGTGAGTGTTGCTTGGCTATTGGACTTCACAGCCTGCGCTCAATTCCGAGTTACTGTACTATCTCTGAACTGCACCACTCAGTCTTTTATGAAACTCTCGTGAGCCTGGGACGGCCGACAGGCAGGGAAATAACAATAACGAAAAATGCAACTGCAAATTACTGATGTTTGGAGTCTCTCGAGACCAACAAGTAAAACTGCTTAACTTACAGACAAAAAGAAAAACAATAAATCAATATGAAAGCGCCTCCTGAAACAGTAAGATAATCCATGGCAAATAATCGCCTTGATGTCCGCAAGCAACATTTCTGTATGATGACAAAGATAGTTAAGACTGATAGCCTGATATTGTAAGTCAGTCTGGAGTATTGGGTCTAACCGTTTGATACATGAGTAACTAACACAGCGAGGCAAACAGGCTTGCACAGAAAGATATGGATTTTTCCTTTATGGTATGGAAAGGAAAATAAATTAAATGATGTTGGAACACATGAGGTGGTGGTGGGGGGGGGGTGGTGGAGATGGGGAGGGTAAGCTACTTCAGGCATTTGCAATTTAATTGATATTTGAAGGTAGGAAGCCAATCAGTATAAGTAAATTGACGTTATAAGATAAAAATGATCTCTTAATGGGATATCTTCCCCACATCACAGTCACAGTACAAATAAATGTTGTCGAACCCCGGGAACAGCGTGATGGCAGTTACTGTGTATGACAGACCACTGTCAAGCCAGTGGGGTTCTCTCCATGCTGTAGTTTATTTTTACTGCATCTGTCTCTGCTCCCTGAGAGAAGGCAATGAGCAGTTTCACATTGATTGCTGTTTCAGCCAACAGCGGTTGAGAGAATGTAATTAATGACTCTATTTGCTCGAGCACTGCCGAGAACAATTGAGTTTGTTATGGCAACAACTGATGCCAGCTTCCCCAGGCTCAAGGGATGTGTTTAGTCTGGAGCTCAGCAGCCACCACTGGGCAGAGCACCAGATGATCCTCATGCACTGGGAGTGTTTGGCAAATGAAGTGTCAATAAAGTTAAGTGATTCAGTCCTACATTGTCAAACTGTGGTAGATGAGGAGGTGGAGTGATTTGATATATTGCCTGTAGTAACAGCCATCACAAAGAGTATTTGACCTGTGCATAACTGGGTCTGTCGAAATCAGGAGGCAATAAATGAACAGTGGATCCAGATTGAGAAACATCTTTGAGAATATGAAAGTGGCATTGTTGGGATTGCGGTGCACTTCATGACGTAAACTGTATTTAACTGAGTTTTCATTTTAGACGAGCATATAGTATTAATTATCAAAACGGTTTATTGTACAGAGAATATTACTTTGAACAGCCGAGCCCTTTTAGTACTGAAACCGACTCCCACCTCAAAATGTATTACGTTGGGATTTTCACTGTATCAGGAGCTTGTCACCTGAGTTTGATTTGCTGACTTCTGCCTAAAATGGGTGAAAGGCGGCAGCTTGACTGTATTTACAATAAACAGTCAACTCTGCTCAAAGCTGCTGTTTTCTTAACATCGACCCAAAGACTCTGATCTAAGGAAGATGCCAATTTATCTGCTTTTCTGTTTGATCCTGCACTTTTGCCCCCAAAATGCCTACTCTCTCCACATTCTGTAGCGGAACTGGAATAAATACTTCTTAAAAAGTAGGATTAAGAGAATCATATTACGCATAGATTTGGTGTCAGCTGGCTCAGTTTGTAGCACGCTTGCGTCTGAGTCAGAAGGTTGTGGGTTTAAGTCCCACATCGGAACTTTGAGCTCACTGTTTAGGATGACGCTCCAATGCAGTGCTGAGATTGCCAGATGTGCCGTGCTTCAGATGAGATGTTAAACCGAGGTCTGCTTGTTCAGGTGGATGTTAAAGATCATATGGCATCATTTGAAAAGCGCAGTCAGTTTCTCTCACTGTCCTGGTTAACAATCCCCCACACAAAATTGGTCATTTACATCATGGCTGTTTATAAGACATTGCTGTGTGCAAATTGACTGTTGTGTTTGCTTTCAAAGTGTCCAGATAATTCACTTGAGAACAAATACCTCAGATATACTTTTGGACGTCATGAGGTGCTATATGAAATGTAAGGATTTATTATTTATTACTATTGCCAGGCCAGTAGCTTGGCAGCCTGCTCTCAGGTATTCAGTACAGCTATAACTGGTTCAAGAGACATTGGAGATTGACCAGCATTGAGATTTCCCTTTCCCTGTTGGCAAAGCATTTTGTCTCCCATGACTATCTTCTTCCTGGGAAGCAGATACTCAACTGGTGGTAAATCATGGACACAAAGCTTCCTCCATCTTTTGCCGGTCTGTGGCACAGTGCTCCATTTGTTGAAGATGTGCTTATTGGGCACAATTATGGTCTATGTGTATTGTGCCAGGACCTTGGTTGATAGGACTCTTGCCTTTGAGTCAGAAGGTTATGGGTTCAAGACCCAAGTCAAGTCTTTGAACTCATATCGTCTGGGCTGAGACTCAAGTGGAGAGCCAGGGATGTATTGTTGGAGTTGCCATTCTTCGAATGAGATGTTAAACGCAGGTATTGCAGTCAAGTGGACATTAAAGATACCACAGCACTATTTGAAAAGAGAGTGGAGATTCTCCCAGTGACCCAGTTAACAATTCCCCAAATAAAATTGGTGTTTCACATTGTTTACGGAAAATTAGCTGCTGTGTTTTGCTTACAAAACACACAGTCACCGCACTTTACAGTACATTCTGTGAAGCACTTTGAAACATCCTCCAGAAGTGACAAGTGCTATACCAAATGGAAGGATTATTATTATTTTTAAGAATTATAACTAAAATTACAACAAATATCCACACACATACCAAACAAACAAGTAAAAATTGTTTGTTTCTGTTTTAGACTCTATCATTCTTAATACCACAACCTTTTCACATGAGTAATGAACGGGAGGGAATAGTGATGGTGATAGGTACAGTATTTGAAGCTGCTAAGCTCAATGGCTTTACTGGAGCGGGGTGTGTGTGGGGGGGGTGTGTGGGGGGGTGTGGGACATTGCATGCTGTGATTTCATTGCTAAACAGGCCAGTGGGATGAAATGCCTCAGGTAATGCCTTGATGGATGAGTTGACTGAAAGTATTGGGTGTTGAAAGTTGCGTGGCCACAGTTGAGTTGAATGGTTCCATGTCTCTCTGATCAGGAGCTAACCATTTGAATGAATGCATCATATAATAGCGTTTCAGAGGAGTGACTTGAAGTTTGATTGCCAGATGTAATGCCAAACACCACTTGGAATTGAACTTATCTCATGGCTATTGTAGTGTAAAGCGGGCAATGTAATCAGATCCCTGGGAGACGCACATAATATATCTAAAGATGACAAGGGAACTCAATCTTTATTTTACTTAAGTAGGCGTGCTGGGTATTGCCTAAGAATCAGGTTGTGCTTCTATCCTATGTACTGTAAGCAGGCACGTGTACCATTAAAGATATGTATTGAAGTAACTGATCTCTGTATATCTAAGGAATACGGAGCTGGTCCAAGTGTATCTTACAGGTCAAGCTTTGAAATGAAGAAGCAATAAGCCAGTGAAATGGTACTATCACCAAAACATGATTGATCAATTGAATTCTATCAGAGCGAGTGGACAGCCAGATTAAGTCAGGCCTGATAGGTTCAATGAGTTAAAGCATGATGTTCATTTCAGCTTCATTTCACCAGTCTTTGCTTGTGAAATTGGTCAATCAATAGAGGTTGAAGATCATATATCGGTGACCATCTTATAGGGAATATAATCTACTCCAGGCAGCCCCTGACTCTAGCTGCCTTCTGTATAATGGAGACAGAGCCCAAACTCCATCAAAGCTACTGAAATGGCCTGATATCTTCTCAAATGAAAAGTATTTTTGGAACTCTGTTGATTTATCTTTTACTCCAGTTGATTTACAGAGAAACTGTAACCACCTTGAAGGAAATATAATGATCTCGCTTCAAAATTTGTGCAATAAATAGATATAGAGATAAAATATAATCATAAAACTTTGATTTTCTTTCTCTGGCTTTCGAAAAATAAATATGATTTTTTTTTTTCCCCCTCCGTGAGAAGATTTAGAAAGTCCTTTTGGCTCGTGTGACGGAAATGACAAAATTAGCTCACACACGTGCTCATGGTTTTCAACACAAAATAAAATCTTTTGTTAGGTTTGGAAGGTGAATCAGTCAGGAGTGGAATGTGTGAGAGTAAATCAACATACAGGAGACGCAGTAAAGATCTGAGCCAAAGAGCTTTTATTCTACCAACCCCTCATTCCCGCAGAAAGTAGGACTCTGAAAGTGTAACCCTTTCTGTATGATGCTGGCATTTACCCCACTCGCAGAAGATGCTGTGAGTGAAGAAATGTCCTGTTGTTGCTCTCATCTCTCTAACTGTGCTGCATAATATTTAGCGATGGAAATGATTTTTTCCAGCTGTTAAAAGCTTGAAAGCATTTGCATACATTGATAGCTGGAAATTACATTTTAGATGTCTGTAGTGTCGTTCTGGCTTTTATAGCCAAGTTTCTTTAAAGGCTGCGTTTTTCACAGCATTGATGCAACAGCTTTGTGAAACTGTCTTCACGACTATGTCTCTTAAAAATGGAATAACCCTTACCCTGGTCATTCACTTCATGGCTATTTATGGGACATTGCAGTGCGCAAGTTGACTGCAATGTAAATACACAATCACTACGCTTCACAGTATATCCTGTGAAGCGCTTTGGGACGTTTTGCTGACGTGAAAGACGCTATACCAAATGTAAGGATTATTTATTTACTATTTACATGGGGAGGGTGGGGAGGGGAGTGGGGTGGGGGGTACTTATATCCCAGTTTTCCTGACTGAAGCTCATCCACTGTGCTTAGCAGACATTTCATTCGCACTCCTTTTAGGTGCTGCTCTAAGTGTGTTTCCGTGTGTGTCTCTTGTAAAGGTGGTCAGGAAAACCCAATGCACAACGGACATTCGCACCCTGGCAGGGACTTTCTGCGGAAGCAGATGCGTGGAGAGCTCTTCACACAACAGCAGCTTGAAGTGTTGGACAGAGTCTTTGAAAGACAGCACTATTCGGACATCTTCACGACTGCGGAGCAGATCAAAGCCGAGCAGGTAAGAACATGTGCTTCCTCTGTATCTTCCTCTGCCTACCCGTTAATAAAGGGAGATGTCTGTTATTTTTACCTCTGAGGCTGTACGTTTGATTCCCTGCTCCATCCATCGAACAAAGATACTGATACCAAGTAACTGCCATCAAAAAAACAGACATGGATCTCTTGTGAAATGAGTTTGGCAGTAGGTCAGCACTGAGTGTAAGTAGGATGGGAATCTCTATATTACGAAAAAAAATGTTGAGACGCAAAATACTGCTAAAGTTCCGCAGCCCGGCTACTTGGGGGATAGAGTTATCTAAATGTTGAAGGGGTGAGGAGAAGTCTTTAGGCACAATGAAGAGAATGAACGCTTTTGTTCTTTATAGATGTGGAATATGAAAGCTAGGGTAAGTGAATCCAACATCCCCAGGCAGATATCGTGTTGGAAATAATCAGCTGAGATAATTAGGTTGGAGTTGCCATGCGTCGTTTCTTATTGAAACCATCCTTTTACTGTGCGACGTTTTTTTTTTCCTTTGCTCTGTGCAACACATGGAAGTAACTCATCAAAACCCTGCACAAAAACCCACATGGCCTTGGGGATGTAGCCTATCGGAAGAAAGCCAGAAATGTAGAACAGGAATTTGCATTTTCTCTCAAAGACTTATACAAGGCACTGATTGTAAGTAGCGTGAATTAAAGGAGAAATGGGCTCTAGGGAACTGTCGCAAAATCACGAATGTTAGACATCTCAGGGTTACCATCTTTTATCCTTTAAAACTGCTTGTTAAAGCAACCCCGTGGCTGTTTGTGGGGCTTGCTGGCACAGATGAATTTTACACTTTCCTACCTGGATAATTACCTGTACAGCACTGCGATACAATGCTCAGAAAGCACCCTCCCCCCACGACCAGCCTCCAAAAAAAAGGTCCCATTCATGGTAGCACTTGAGGGGGTGATCCACACAAAAGCTGTCTGCCCCATACACAGCCAGCACTTTTACAGCATGTAGCCCAGTGACATGGAGTGACTCACATTGCAATTAATAGTTTGTATAATGTGCAGTTCTGGTCACTGTGCCATAAGTGAGCTGCCCAAATGCTAGACGCAGTGCATTAAAGCAATGATCTAGTGCGCAGGCGAGCTAGACAGACAACTCACAGGGGACATAATAGAGCTATTTAAGATCTTAAATAAGATTAAAAAATAAAACTCAGATAATAGTTTCGGATGTGCCAAGAGGGCAGAAGAAGAGGACAGGGTTATCCAGGGAAACTTCAGGACAAACAGAAAGAAATCCCTTTAGGAATTCTCCAGTGTGTGATAAATGATTCGAACAGGATACCAGGAAGGGTGGCTGAGGTCAGGACACCGGACTCATTTAAAAGCATCTTGATGCTGTGATGGAAAGACGGGCTTTTTAGAAGGATGAGATCGAATAGGCAGAAGGCCCTCCTTCACCGCAACCCATCTTGAAATTCTTGAGCACTGCAAATGGATACTTCATCACAAAGAAGGGTAAACAGAATATGGAGTGTCGTTCACAAGAGAACAATTTTAGAATAATCACAAAATTAATTGAAGGGGAGATTAGAAAGAAAATTATATTGGAGGACATCCCACGACGCAGATTCTATAAATTGTTGTAAAAGCAAATGAGATTCTTGACAAAGAGAATATTTCAGGGAACGGGGAGTGAGGAGAACGTGATTCAATAGTAAGTAAATGGAGAAAAGTCCCAGTGTAGACTTATTGGGCTCAATGGCCTGTCTCTGTGCGGGGACAATGTAGGATTCCCTGTGCCCAGCTCGGAACACTGTTGTCTGAATGTTGACGAGTGTTTTGATTGTTAGCGAAGAACTGACAAACCCTGTCATCTGTTTGTTCATCTTAAGACTTCTAGGTGTCCAGTTGAACACATAGAAACAGGAGTAGGCCATTCAGCCCAAGAGCCTGTCCCACCATTCTATACAATCATAGCTGATCTGTACCTCAAGTCCAATTACCTGCCCTTTCCCCATTCTCTCTGGATACCCTGACCTAACTGCTATCTATCCACCTCAGTCTTGAAACACTGTGAATTTTTCAAACTTTACCCTGAAAATGTAAAGTGCGTGAGAGCCCACTGAGAGCAGTGATAGTGCAGCCTGTACAAGGGCTCCAGCCCCCTCCGCCACAGGCTGGTGTCATTCTACATCCGATAAATGCCCTGAGTAGCAATTGATTTTACGGCAGGAACATTATGGATTCTGCATCAATTCAGCATGGACACCCCATTACATCACCACAACCCTTATCGTGTAACTGGCTGTCAGACACGCCCAGGGTACAAACACTATCCTTCTACTATTTGGGATTTCACACCAAACGGGCAGCAGTACCTCCTGTCTTATTGGATGGTTTCACCAAACGGTCTGTGAGGCTGTGGGAACACCTTCCTGCACGATTGATTTTAGTAAGTTGTTGCTTTGAAATGATTTGATTACAAGTACTGATAACAGAGGGAAGTGTTTGTTACATGTGACCTTAGCTCCGTCTCTCACTCTTTCCATTGATTAGCTAAAGATCACACTTGAACGTTCATCTCAATCATCTTTTTTACTTCTTTTCTCGAATCAATCAAAGAGCGTGCTGGCACTCATGGTTTGATAAAAGATATTTCCCTAAGGGATTGTTCTTATATAAGCAGAGGAAAATACTAAGTGGTAGAGCAACCTCAGTGACTAATACCTGCTGTGAACATCTACCTGTTTGCCTTGAAGTCACATTCAGGATTGGAACCAGTTTCGGACTATCATAACTGGTCTCTATTAAATACACAGTTAATACACTTTACAGTAAATCCTAGGAAGCGCTTTGATATGTCTCAATGATGTGATAAGTCGCTGTCAATATCCCGGCTTTACAGTCTATTCTGTGAAGCGCTTTGAGACGTCTAGAAGATGTGAAAAGCGCTATATCAAATGCAAGGAATATTATTATTATTATGTATTTAACTCGCCACACCAGATCACTCATCACTGAGCCCTGTTCCCTTAGAGTGACGAGTTATCAGGAACTTACGGTAAATATTACAATAGAAAGCTTAAACTGGAAAAATAACTGTGGTGGGTGGGCAAAGGGGCTTTGCTACCTGAATTCCAATGGGGGTACGTTCATCCAAACCAACCCCTAGCTTCAGATAACTGGTTACCTTTTCATAGACTGAAGCAGGGCACTTGTGGTTTACGAATAAGCTGGCCACTCACGTCATGGCTGTTTGTGGAACATTGCTGTGGGCAACGTGGCAGATGTGTTTGCCTCCAAATACACAGTTAAGGTTAGCAATTCCGGTGCTCGTATGGAATCTCTGGAGATGGCAACCCCAATACACCGTCATTACGCTTTACAGCAACTACCTGTGAAGCGCTTTGAATAATTCAACATTTTAGGCATTACGTCAAAGGCAAGGGTTATAGTATTCAGCAGTAGATAGTTTGCTACAAGAACACTTGTAATTGATCGAGTCTGATGAATCAATCACAATCATTGGTTTACCTTAGACTCTAAAAACTTCAATTATGTTTGACATCACTAAGCATAGGACGTTTCCTATCGCTTGTTTATGATGGACCTACTTTTGGCTTTATTTTATTATGTGTTGACACCAAATGTGCATAAGGTGAGAACATTCAAAATAAGTTACTGTGAGTCTCACTTGTGTCTGAAATGTAAAATTATCTGTAAGACTGCTTAAGGTTCCAGAAGACATTGGGATGATAATAATAATAATCCTTGCATTTGATATAGCGCTTTTCACGTCTTCCCGACGTCTCAAAGCGCTTCACAGAATAGACTGTAAAGTGAATTGACTGTATATTTGTGGGCGAAACGCGGCAGCCAATTGCGCACAGCAATGTCCCACAAACAGTTGTGGGTTGAAAATGACCAATTTATTATTGTGCTTTTTTTTGAGAGCTTATTATCCCCGAAAAAGCGATCCGCCAATCGACTAACAACCAGATTCCTACTTACTGCTAGGTAAACAGAGGAGTGTGGAGTAAGGAAACTTGCCCAACGTTTTGCCCTGCCGGGAATCGAACCCAGGTCCTCTCGCTTGCGAGGCGAGTGCTCTCAACACTGAGCTACAGGACTCTATGATGTGTCAGTTGTTTGACATTATCCAGGGGCCACGATTTCACTTTCATTTAATTAGAAATCATTACCTTGTTATAGTGTTCCTGCATTCAACTGTACACAGAAATGAATGACTACATAAGATCTAATAACAAAAATCATGTTGAAGTCTAATTTGTATGTTTGTTGTATGTTTTTCCTTTTTTTTTCTTTCTGCACTGTATCACTATTAGTGCCCTATCATATTGAATCATGTCAGTTTTTTCGCGGAATAAGTTACTGTAGACAAGAACCATTGGTTATTTGTAGCACAATCACGCCGCAAACAGCAATGACCAAATTAACCTTTTTCAATTGGATGAAGGAAGAATATTAAATTAGAACATGAGGAAAAACTCCCTGCTCTCCTTCAAAATAGTGTCCTGGGATCTTTAATCTACACCTGTACTGATAGTAGACAAACATCTTTCTATTTACTGTAAATGCCCAGCTACAATCTTTTTTTCTCCAGCCACGTCCTAGATCTGTATTTACAGTATGCATATACATAAACATCTATACACGTATTTTAGTTATAAATGCATCACATATAATTGATCACACACTGCAGACTCAAAATCTTATTCATGTTCAATCATTGTTTGGAAAAAATTTGTTCATTTATTTAGCATTGATTTGTCTACTGATCTGTACAGTGCACCTCTGTATGTACGTATCATCTATCTTTATCTACCTACTGTATCCCTCTATTTATGCATGCAGCACTCATTTACTAAACCCCTACAATACCATTCTTCCCATCTACTAGACCTATGTATATGTTGTACCTGTCTTGCTATCCGCAATAGGGCTGTGTGTGTATCATCTATAATCCCTCCAAAACCAAAAACAATAATAAATTGG